AATCCTACTTCCGTAGTGATACTGCCTCGGAAACCCAAGGAGGGGTCGCTATGAGTCGGGGCCGACTTGACGGCAGATAACAACAACAACAACATCTATTATATACAGTGACTATTAATTTTTTTTTGCATCTATTGTTCAGTGGACCACACTTTCAGAAACAGAGTCAGGCCATACCTGGAGTGTTTTCTACTTACTAAATGATAATTCTTTACATGGTTGGATAGGTGAATTTTTTATTTGTGTTTGAGGTAAAACTCTCAGAATTGAACCGTGTTGCAGAGTTGAAGGAGATTATGGTATTCATGGTCTCTGTGGAAGTATGTGTGTGTGTGTGTGTGTATGCACACATACATATGTTTGTGTGTGTAAATACACATGCATACATTTTGATTCTTTCTTTTGTTTAGAATAAATGTAATGATATATATGTAATAAAGGGAGTTCATAAACTCCCTTTATTACATATGAAAATTGAGCCAAAAATGATGAAATGAATTTTATAGTGTCTTTTTAACTCTTTATTACATATTTCATTTTATCATCTTTAGTTTGAATCTGCCAAACACATTTCCATAACTTTAAGGCATGACAAAATTAGGACATCATACTTCATCCTCAAGAGTTGAGTTTTTCTTGATACAGATTGAATCTCAGCTGATGTCTCCTTTTCCCTGGTTATATTTGAAATTTAGTCTCATCTAATCTCATGGTGTACAGCATTCTGCTTTTCATGACTCAGATTTTGTTGACTTCCATTTTAAAATGATTGTGTAGGTTCTGGTCTTCTGTGTTTGAGTAATGGGTATACTGTAAGATGTAGATAATTGATATAAAGGGGATGTTTGAGAAGTAAATGAATGGCTATGTACTCTTGAAAATGCTAAATGTAACACAGAGAATCTTCAAATTTGAATTTATGGAGGGCATTATGTTCCCCAAGGCTGTGGATCTTTCCATTGATGAGTCCAGCTTGACAGGAGAGACAACTCCTTGTTCTAAGGTGACAGCTCCTCAGCCAGCTGCTACTAATGGAGATCTTGCATCAAGAAGTAACATTGCCTTCATGGGAACACTGGTCATATGTGGCAAAGCAAAGGTAATTTTTTTCTTCTTTTGAAAAAAGTAGTTTCTTTGTATGCAACCATTTTTTCTTTTTTTTTTTTTTTGTTTTTGCTAATTTTATGTGGATTTTCTAAAATACAAGGCAATGAAATGACAGAATGAAATACCTAACCCCTGTAAGCCATTTGTGAGGTTGGAAAGAAGCTTTGTGTGAGTCTTAAAAGCATAGTCCTCAGTACCTATTCCTTTTTAACATAGAAAACAGTGGTTCATAGACTTCTGGTTAAAGAAATTTTTGATACAGTACTGGCTATGAATATTCTGGCTATACATATCATTTCCCTACTGATTGTTTTCAAATATTCTATTTCTTTGATTGTAATATTCCACCAATATAAAAGGCACAATTGCTTTTGATATTATGGTAGAAATGACATTAAATGTCTCCATTGAGTATAAGCCACCACTTGTCTGTCAGTTTATCATATTGTGGTGGCCTGCATGTCGCTGTAAGGCTGGAGGCTCAGATACCAGCAGGGTCACCCATGGTGGACAGGTTTCAGTGGAGCTTTCAGCGTAAGGCAGGCTTAGAAGAAGGAAGGGGCCATCCACTTCTCAAAGACTTGGCCAGTGAAAACCTTATCAGTAACAATGAAACACTGTCTGATATATTACTGGAAAACTTTATAGAATAGTCCTGAAACATTGTCAGTATAGCAAGGATTGTGAGGCTGGCACAGGCCCAGGCAGTGTTTTGTTCTGTTGTACATAGGCTCACTAGAGTTGGTGATGATGTGACAGCACCTAACAACAACAACAACATTTGAGTGTAAGAGATCAGAGTTCAGAAATAGTAAAATGTTTCTGAATATTTTAAAATAGGCAGAAATGGGCCTCAGAATTGAGGCAGTGTTATTTTAATAAAAATAAGAAGTAAATACCTATAGTAACATTGAAAAGTAACTTGACTTAAGGGAACCTTGGAATGTCGGACATCTTCACTATATATGGGATAGTCTTTAAAGAAAAGGAAGGAAAGATTTTTGCTTTTTGACTGAGAGAGGTGATTCCATCTGAATGTAAATATATTTTCCTTTCTGCCCCCCCTACCCCCCCCCCCAGGGTATTGTCATTGGAACAGGAGAAAATTCTGAATTTGGGGAAGTTTTTAAAATGATGCAAGCAGAAGAAGTGAGTACTTAGTTTGCTAATGATGTATTAGTTTAAGATCTGAAATTCTTTATTGTGAGTAGTAGAAAATAGAATATTGGTGGGTTATTTCATATAGTATTAAAACTGTATTTTATTCAGAATATCATTCAGTTGTCTGGTTAGCGACATAATTGGAAATATTATTAATTAGAAGTGCCTGAATTGACATAGTATTCTAAAACATTTTGATTTTTATCCATTGTTTATAGTAGAAAAGGTTTGTGGCCATTTATAGATTTTATTCTTTTTAGAAATCAGCTTTATCATACCAATTTTAAGTATTGCTGATTAGTATATTTATACCTCAGAATATCTCTTCTACCAGTATTTTTAATTTTACTTAAGTCTAAATAAGGAGAAAAAAATAAGATTGCCTAGTAAAATATCCTAAAAAATACTCTTGGTTAATGACATTCTTGAAGACCAGTTCTTATTTAAAATACTTTTCTACATATAAAAAGGAAGTTGTATTCTGTAAATGCCGTATTCCCCCAAAAATCAGCTGGATTTCTGAGGTTACCTACAAAGAATCCCTTATATGATAAGAGTATGCAAATCCATTCCAAAAAGCTTGGCAGTGAAGGGAAGATAAGAGAAATGGGGGAACTAGAGAGCAGGGAACAAGCAGGGTAAAAAGACTTAGGCCAGTAGGCTAGTTGTAGACACAGTAAGTGGAAAGTACAGAAAACCAAGGGAGGGACAGCTGATGGTATAAAGTCCGAGAGTAGTTGGTAGGTGGAGAATAAATCTTTCTTCAAAAAGAAGCACAGGGAGAGAGTCTTTTCGAATAGACTTTGTAACACTGAGAGCTTTAGCTTTCCTTGCTGTGAGACCTTAGACATTGTTTTAAGTCTTTTAAGACTCAGTTTCCTCAGTGCAAATTGTAATATTTATCCTGTGGGAGAGCTTTGTGGTTAATCAGGACCTGGGTGTGTTAACAAAGTTCTTGACATCTGGTAAGGCTTGGGAAGTTTTAGTTATTATAATATTGAAACAGTAGCTGACATTTATTTACCTGACATGTTAAGTGGTTTCACCTATATAATTTTTAAGCACCTGATTTTTTTTTAATGTAGACATTTGTGTTTACTTATATTAAAAAGATATTTGTATCTAATTGTGATGACCATTTTTTCTAATTGTTAAGGCACCAAAAACCCCTCTACAGAAGAGCATGGACCTCTTAGGAAAACAACTTTCCTTTTACTCCTTTGGTATAATAGGTAAGAGAAGAGTGAGTATGTATATCTCATATTTTTACTTTACTTTTCATTTTGGAGTGGGAATGGGGAGATACTGTAGTCTTATTTATTTATTTATTTTTTTAATAGCTTCTTTATTAAGAATTATAATAAAACTAATGCCTAACTTTTGTGGGGTTTTTTTTTTTAACAAAGTAAATAAAACTTTGTCTAATTCTTAATAGCTAGATAGTATTTCTGTAAACATTCTAGTGTTTATCCTTCTTGTCTTGAATAAAACTATGATTGTTTTTATAGACTGTTTATCTTCATGTGTCCCAGCCCCACCCCAATCGTCTTATAAACATTTTGTCATTGGAGAGTGCTCACATAAAACCAATTTAAAGGTTCCATTGTGTGACTATATGTAATGAAGCTTCTTTTAGACATTTAGGTTGTTTTGAGTTTTATTTACTCATGTAAATAATTCTTCAGTGCAGGGTAGTTTTTTGTGGTTGTTGTTTTGTTTTATAAACACCTCTCATTGCCTTAGGATAACTTTTTAGATGTGAAATTATTTGATCAAAGGGTTTACATGTAATTTTTAATTTTGTTTTGTATTGCCAGCTATACCCTTCATGAGCAGGTTAAAAGTATGTCTCTTCTAGCAGTCCTGCCAACTTTAACTGTTGTTTTCAATTTTATTGGTGACTAAAATACTTCTTATTTCACTGTGCAGTTTATTGTTAGAGAAAATTAACACTTTTTCATATGTGTGTTGTTCTCTTTTATTTTACAACTTGCCCATCTGTCTCTCTTGTCCCTTCTTCTCTTATGGCTTAAGGCTTAGATTGGTAAGAGTTCTTAATTTATATAATTACAATATCAATCTTTTTGCTATTTAAGTTGCAAGCTTTATTTTGTTTTTTTATTTACATTATAAAATTGGGCTTGAGGGATAAATAATAAACTTGGAGAGGATAGAGGAAGTGTGATACAATTGAAACATCCCTGGCCCTGAGATTCTCATGGCCCCAACTATTGAGAATCTCTGCAGTTATGGTTTCTGTGTTTGTTTTATTCATAAAGGCTCTCCCAACTCCATGATTATAAGAACACTTATTTAAACACTGTTCTACTTCTTTAGATTTTATTTTTGACATTTAATTTTTCTTTTGTAATTAAAATATATCACATGGCATGTGGTTGAGTTACAGCTTTTTTATTCAAAAGTTAATTAATTATTCAGTATTATCAGTTCTATAATTCATTCTTTATTCCCCGAGTTGAAATGACATTGACATAAAACATTAAACACTTGCCTCTATTTCTGGAAGTCTTTTCTACTTCTAATTCTTCCACCATATTCACTGTTTCAGTGAAGTAATTGTTTAAACATAACTTCTGTTGATCTGTTTTTCTTCATAAAAATAAAGTAGAACATAAGAAGGTAATGAACTGCTCTTGTTCAGCTAGTGTGGATGTTCTCATAACATCCTTCATTTGATCCTTGCTATTTATTTTCTAGATTTTTTTAAAAATAATTTTTATTGTGATTTCAGTGAAAGTTTACAGAGCAAATTCATCTTCCATTCAGCAGCTCACATACACTTTGTCTCATGACATTGACTGTAATTTCCCACAATGCAACAGCTCCTCTCCCACTTCCTCCCCATAGTTACCTCTTCCCTGTGTCCTTCTATCCATGTATTCCTGCCCCCTGAGCTGTCTTCCTGTGCATACACAGCCCTTCTATTCTCCCATGATTGTTCTCTCCAAGGAGTGTATCTACCTAGTATAAATGTTCACCTCATATGCCTTTATTTTGTTTTCCTGGAAGCCACAGGAGTGGGTTCAATTTCAGACCCGAAGGGCAGCTAGGGGCCATAGTCTCAGTGGTTCCATCAGGCTTTTTCACACCAGCAAATCTGGTCCCTTTTTTTTCCAAATGATTTTGCATTTTGTTCCACATGGTTCTCCCACTCTATCCAGGACCTCCTACATGATCCCCCTTTTAGTGGTTGACAGTGGTAGCTGGGCACCATTTCGTTCTTAGAGTCTAATTATTTTCTAGAATTTTTGTAGTAAATTTTGTAAATCAAAGGATACTCTAGCCAATTACATCATGCTAGTTTAACACTATAATAAAATAATCTCAGTTTAGTGATAAAAATCTTTCAGCTTTATGACTACCTGGTTTTATACTCAAATAATGCATTGGATATAATTTTCCTTGGCAAGGTATTACATGGAATAGAATCTAGATTAGTGGTCAGGTCAATACACTTTTTGGTAATAGGGTAGGTAGTAAATGTTGTTGGGTAGTGTAGTGCCTAAGGCATTTGACTTCTAACCAGAAGGCTGGCAGTTCAAATCCACCAGCCACTCCACGGAGGGAAGATTGGGCAATCTACCTCCATAGTGATACCGCCTTGGAAACCCAAGGAGGGGTCACTATGAGTCGGAGCTGACTCGATGGCAGTTAGTGTGATTGGGTTAGTAGTCTATATAAAACCAAAAACCAAACCCACTGCCATCACACTGATTCCAACTCACAGCGATCCCCATTGGGTTTCTAAGGTGGTAAATCTTTATAGAAGTACCTTGTCTCGTCTTCCTTCCACACAGCAGCTGGTGAGTTTGCGCTGCCAACCTTGTGGTTAGCAGTCCAATGCCTTAGACATTGCACCACCAGAGCTTCTTGTAGTCTGTATGGTCTGATGGAAGTATTCAACTCTGTTGTTGGTGGGAAGTCAGCCTTAAACAACATGTACATGAAGGGGCATGGCTGTGCTCCAACACATTTTATTTATAAAGAAAGGCAGGAAGCCATAGATGACTAGTCCCTGATATAATTTATTGGACATAATTTTTTTCAGTATAGTATTTGGGTAGGATCTTACAGGATCATGATCTGGATCATTATTTTGTAGTTGTACAGAGATGGAATAAAAACTTCTTTTAAATGCCCATATTGATCAATTTTGGATGATACTGTGTTGTCTTATTACTTACAAGCTAAGTGGTGCCTCTATTTTTATAAAGATTAAAGCAAGGAGCATGGAATCAATTGTTTGGCTTATGTTAATAGATATTTTATTTTTAAATGTCATGAAAGGAGTAATTAAATATTAGTTAGTTTGGCTAAGGCACTTGACTGCTAACCAGAAGGCTGGCGGTTCAAACCCACCAGCCACTCCTCGGAAGGAAGATGGAGCAATCTACTTCCGTAGTGATACTGCCTTGGAAACCCAAGGAGGGGTCACTATGAGTCGGGTCCGACTAGATGGCATATAACAACAACAACAACAGTTTGAAATGTCTTAGGTAGGGATACATCACTATTTGAGCCAAGTCCTAAGAACTTCTTTGTATGCAAAGAACTTCTTTTGTATACAAATAATGTGTAATTGTCTGGATATTGAGTCATGAAAAATAGAGTTCCAGGGTTCATTTTTGTAAAGTTCATAGTGCATTAAACCAAGAAAAACCAAACTCACTGCCGTCAAGTTGTCTCTGGCACGTAGTGATCCCTCTTTGGGTTTCTGAGGCAGTACCGCTACTGAAGTAGATTACCCAACCTTCCTTCCGAAGAGTGGCTGGTGGGTTTGAACTGCCAGCATTCTGGTTAGCAGTCAGATAGATGCCTTAGGCACTATGCCACCAGAGCTCCCATCACAGTGAATAGAAGATATAGATATCTTACGGTGCCTTTTTTTGTCTATTCTATAAATGGCTAGTTATATTTTTTTACACTAGGGACTCCTAGATAGTATTGCTTTAAGGTGTTGGGTGGGAGCAGTGGCAACAAAAGGTAATATCTTATGCGTGTATGTGTCCATACCACAGATTTAATCTTCCATGCTTAATGTATTTTTTTTTATAATATATTGTAAAAGTGATCTGATATACCTCTCCTATTATATCAAGGGGACTTTTAAATATTGTCAACTTGATACAGTATCCTTTCTCTACCTGGCTAAGTTTATATAAAAGGAAAAAAAAATAGCTATTTGATTCTTTTCCAGGTATCATCATGTTGGTTGGTTGGTTACTAGGAAAAGATATCCTGGAAATGTTTACTATTAGTGTAAGGTAAGTTCTAATAGTTTGCTTATAAAGTGAAGTCTCTTTTGTTTCTCTTATTTCTCTAATAGGTATAGCTTGTGTTTTATTATGGTGGTCTCTATTGGATAAGTACATAGGAATATCTCTTAACTACTTAAATAGTTCTAAAGTCATATATTGAAATGATATCATGGGAAAATTAAAACATTCATACAATGAAGAAAACCCCCACAGTTGCCCAGAGTTATCAACCCAATATACTACATTCTTAAATATAACTAGACAGTAAAGGATTGGAAAGCTGAAAATTAGTAGTATGAATGAGAAAGACCAAACTATGAAAATTAAATTATGTCAGAGGAGATAGAAAAATTCAGGACATAAAGAGAAACGTTTGTATTTTCAAAGATTTTCAGAGAAACTGGATCCATAATTGGGGGACAGATTGCTGTAGAAAAACATTAGAGAACCAAAAAGGATTTTTAGAAATTAAATTATGATTGGTGGAATTAGAAATTCAATTCAAAGGCTGTAATCTGAAGTCAAAGAGGTCTCTCACAAAATAGAACAAAAAGAAACAGAACAAGATTAAGATACAAAGACAAATAATTCAGGTAATAATCACATCGAAATAGTAGGAGTTTCAAAAAGAGATGAAAATGATCTAAGATTAATAAACGCATGTTTTCTTGAACTGAGGTGAGACATGGATATTTAGTTTGAAAGAGTTCACCAAAAGCTAGGCAAGATGAAAAAAACTGAAACCTGGATATATTGTGAACAAGTGAGGTCATCTACGAAAGATAATTAGGCTGGCATTGGATTTCTCGTTAGCAACTGCAATTTCCACCAGCTGGTCTTTTTAGATTCTAGTAAGCATTCAAGAGTCACATGGCCTATGAAAGGATATAGATAGATAAACCTGCCTACTGAAAGATACAGGACAGGAAAACACAGGGCAACTTTAGGCACACTTGTCTGAGAGAGTTCCTACAGCAATTCATACAGCATTTAAGCTCAGTTATAAGGACATGAACTCAGTATTGTGACTGTAGGAGCTGCCCTGGGTTAATAGGCAGTTTCTCCAAGGTGCCTGCAAAAGGAACATGTTCAGTTGTTACAAGACTCACCACACGCAGGAAACTCGGCGCTTTGGCTCCCTATAAAAACTCCAGAGACAATTTGTCAGGGGATATCTTTGTCATAAGCAATGTTGCCTAGAAACATAGTTGACATACTACCTTTATCAGGTTATTAGGTGAACACAGCTAGGGAGTTAACCAAATGCAGATGAGAAAACAGGTCTTTAGTTAGCCCTTTATCCACAGCAACAAAAGAAAACATAAGAGACTATGGCACAGCGCTATTAAATTATGAGGGAAGATTATCATAAATTTATAAATGTATATCTAGCCAAAGTATGAGTCTAATTAATTACAAATAGATGAGCAAGTACTCAAAATTTGTCTCCCACCAATTTAAAAATACATGTATATTTTATTGTGATTTGGGCGAAGTTGACAGAGCAAATGAACGGTTTTCCATTCAGCAGTTCATACACATTTTGTTTTGTGACATTCATTGCAATCCTCACAATTTAACAGTACTTTTCCCACTTCTTCCCTGTGTTTGCCGTTTCCCTTCATCCTTCTTTCCTATTTCTTCCTGCCTTCTGAGCTTTATCCTTGGGCAAATGCTGCCATTTTGATCTCGTGTGGTTAATTATTGTAATGAGCGTTTACCTCCTTGGTGTTATTGTTCACTTTATAGGCTTATCTGTTGCTTGGGTGAAAGTTAAGCCATGAGAATGAGTTCAGTTCCAGCCTTGAAGGAGTTCTAAGAGCCATTGTCTTGGAGGTTCCACCCCTCTCATTAGATCAGTAAATCTGATCTTTTTTATGATTTTGAGTTTTATTTCACATTTTCCTCTCACTCTATACAAGACCTTCTGTTGTCATCCCTTTCAGAGTGGTCAGCAATAGTAGCCGGACATCATCTAGTTCTGGTCTCAGGGTTGTGGAGGGCTGGGACTCATGTGGTCCATTAGTCATTTGAACCAAGTTTTCTTGCATCTTTAATTTTCTTCACTCTTCTTTGTTCTGGATGGGGAGAGATCAATAGTTGTACCTTGAAAGGCCTCTCAAGCTTTTAAGACCCCAGCAGCTACTCACCAAAGTAGGAAGTAGAACATTGTCTTTGTGCTGTTCTTATATGAATTCAGGGGTGAAAACAGGAGGATGATGATGTATGATATATATGTGTGTATATATATATATAAAAGAAACTAGATTGAACTAACCTACAAATCTAAGGAAAAGTAATCCTGGATAACAGTTTGTAGTCATCTACAAAAGTAACTGATTCAAGTGTTAGAACAAAAAATCAGTAGATTTTAAGAAGAAAAATTGAATGGATTTAGAAGGTACAAGTACAGTGAAAATGAAATTTATTAATCTGTGATATGGTGAACCAACCCTTAGTGTATTACTTATTGGATTTTTAGTTTTTGAGGACTTTTTTTTTTTTTTTTAACCAATTTTAACTGTTTATAAAGATTGACATGCCATAACTTTTATTCTTTATTTATGGTTGTCCAGAAAACTAATGGAAATTTTACTATTTTTTAAAATAAAGCTCATTTTGTCTTGCAATCACCATATGGGTTCATTGGACTGTTTTATAAATCTGAGCTACATTTTGGGATCTTTAGTGATCTTTTCCAACATCTTGAAAGATTTTACTAATCGTCCTAAGAAATATTTTAACAATTATTCCCCAAAAAAAGACTAAAGAAATGGGAGAACAGTGGAATTTCCCAGAAGGTTGGCTTAATAATAAATCACCACTAATTCCATCATCCCTTAGTTGGTTATTACATTGCCATCATTTCAGAAGATAGATGGGGACAGTCTTTGTAGTCTTATTTTTTCAAGCTTCCATTGAATAAAGTTGAGAAGTTAGAATTTTTCATTTTCTACCATAAAGGCAAAGTGAAGAAATGACAGAGAAGATTTCATAATTACTGTTGTTATGTTAGGTGCCATCGAGTCAGCTGCAATTCATGGCAACCCTTTGTACAACAGAACGAAACACTGCCTGGTCCTGTGCCAATCTTACATCCTTGCTATACCTGAGCCCATCGTTGCAACCACTATGTCAGTCCATCTCATTTAGGGTCTTCCCCTTTTTTGTTGACCCTCCACTTTACCAAGCATGATATCCTTCTCTAGAAACTGGTCCCTTCTGACAAATTGACCAGAGTAGATGAGACGAAGTCTGGCCATTCTCTCTTCCAAGGAGCATTCTGGCTACATTTCTTCCAGGACAGATTTGTTAGTTCTTTTGGCAGTCCATGGTACTTTCAGTGTTCTTCACCAACACCACAACTCGAAAGCAGCAACTCTTCTTCGGTCTTCCTTATTCATTGTCCAGCTCATAACAGACAAATTAAAAAATATATGCAAAGAGACATATAGAACCACTGTAGGCTCTAATGATGAGAACGAAATTGATCGTATAAATGAAATCCCAGATTTTGAGTCTTTGGATGATGGTACTTCAGATTTTTTCAGAACTCTGAATTAATGAGTGAACAGTATGTTTCTAAAAACAAAAAGAAAACTGGTACTCAGTCATTGTACAGGAAGGAATTCCTCATTGAATGCTTTCTGACAAGAACCTGGGCTATCACTTTGCTGAAAAGATGTATGACAGTATTTCTTTAATCTTTTATGATGTTTATCAGAATTTACTTGAATTGGTTTATAAATGGAGAAATGCTAAAGACTGGTATGAATATAAAGATGATTAAAAGGAAATAGATGATATAGAAATGAAAAGACCCATTGGACCCATCATTGTAATTGGGTGTTTATAACTCTAAATATGGAAATGTTTTGCAGTATTTTATAAATATTGCATTTTGATGGTACAAGTACCAGAAGAGGAACCTTAAGCTACAACATGTTAGAAATGTTTTTGAAATCTGAAGTCAGTATTTATAAAATGTTCCAGGTTAATTTAAGAGAGCTCACCCATTTTGAATATATATACCTGCGAAACCAAGAAAATGGGGAATATTGTTGTAAGTTTAAATTCAAATGAAAATTTCTAATAAAGTTTTTTGTTCCCCTGCCATTATTCTATAAGTTATTTGTAAAATAAGTTAAATACAAGCAATTTAAACAGTCCTTTGTTTTGTAAATGATGATGATTATTTTTCCTGCTATGGAAGTATAAGAAAAGAGGATTCTTTTTGAACTAAGAACATTCTCTTTGAGTAGCCCCAAGGAGAAAAGGAAATACTGATGATAGTATATATTTCTTGATATTATAGACATTGCTTATTAGTTTTCAACTTTCATAATCCACATGTAGAAGGGGGTAATTATGGTTATAGAACAGGATTATAAAAGTTATCAAGCTAGATCATGTGAAAGAAAAAGCAGATAATAGGAATTGGGAATTTGAAGCAGGGGAGGGAACAGTGTTAGAGTGAGGAAGGCATTCTTATGTCCTTATCTATAGCAGAGTAAAGAGATAATAAATTGAAAAAGATAAAGGGACCTAAGTAGATTTTTAAAATTACAAAGGGAAACAGTGAAACAATTTACCATATTAACTATTTTGAAGTATTTAGTTCAGTGACATTAAGTACATTCACAGTGTTGTCACAACCATCTTACCTAGTGACAAAACTTTTTCAGCAGTGCAAAAGGAAACCCCATACTCATTAAGCAGTCAATCACTGTTCTCACCTCCCCTGTTCACTGGAAATGACTAAACTCTTTCTGTCTTTGGATTTGACTGTATGAATATTTCATATAAATGGAAGCATACGATAGTAGTGTTTTGTGTCTGGCTTCTTTCATTTAGCATGCTTTCAGTTTAACAGTGTAGCATGTATCAGTACGTCATTCCATTTTCCAGCACAGGATAATATTCCATTATATTTATATGCCACATTTTGTTCATTCATTAGTCCGTGGACATAAGGATTGTTTCCATCTTTTGATTATTAAGAATAGTGCTGCTGTGGACATTTGTATACAAGTTATAGATTGAATATCTGTTTTCAAATCTTTGGGTATATGTCTAGGAGTGGAATTGCTGAATCATATCGTAGCTCTATGTTTAATTTACTGAAGAATCATCAAACTCTTTTCCACAGCGGCTGCTCTGTTTAATATTGTCAACAGCAATGTAAGTGGGTCCCAGTTTCTCTGTATTCTTGTGACTACTGTGTATCTTCTACTTTTGATGATGGCAGTTCTAGTAGGTGTATAGTATCACTTCATTGTGGTTCTAATTTTCTTTCTCCTGATGGCTAATGATGTGAACACTTTTTCAAGTGCTTGTGGCCATTTGTATATATCCTTTGGATAAATGTTTATTGAGACCGTTGACTTTTTTTTTTTAATTTTATTTTCCCTTGCCTTTTTTGTTGAGTTCTAAGAGTTTCATATATCCTAGATAGTAGACCCTTACCAGATATATGATCTCCAAATACTTTCTCTCATTCATGGGTAGTCTTTTCATTCTATGGGTAGTATACATTATATAAATGCTTTTAATTTATCTGTTGGTTTCTTTGGTTGCTTGTACTTTTGGTGTTGTATATAAGAAACCATGTCCAAAGCCAAGGTTATTAAGATTTACCTCTGAGTTTATTCTAAGAGTTTTATAGTTTTAGGTCTTAGATCTATTTTGAGTTAACTTTTATATAGAGTGTGAAGTAAGGCTCCAACTTCTCTTTTTGATACGGATATCCTAGTACTTTTTGTTATTTCTCTATTGAGTTATCTCGGCATGCTTGTCAAAAATCAATTGACCAATTCATTTCTGGAATCTCAGAATCTCAGTCTTATTGTATTGATCTTTATGTCTCTTCTTATGCCAGTATCACATTTTTTTGGTTACTGTAGCTTTGTAATAAGTTTTAAAATTGGGGAGTGTGAATCCTCCAACTTTGTTCTTTTATTCCCAGATTGCTTTGGCTATTTATTTTGGCTAGTTGATGTCCTTTGCAATTCCATATGAATTTAGTATCAGCTTTTCCATTTCTAGCTCTAGTGGCATAGTGCCTAAAGCATTTGACTGCTAACCAGAAAGTTAGCGATTCAAACCCACCAGCCACTCCTCGGAAGGAAGGTTGGGCAATCCACTTCCGTAGTGATACTGCCTCAGAAACCCAAGGAGGGGTTGCTATGTGTCTGATGCGACTCGACAGCAGTGAGTTTATTTTTTTTCCATTTCTACATAGGCTGTTGGGTTTTGATAGAGATTGCATTGGATTTGAAGATTGCTTTGAATAATATATCCATATTAACATATTAAGTCTTTGAATCCAAAAACATGAGGTAATCTTCCTATTTAGGTGTTCTTTAATTTCTTTTCAGTGTTATTTGTAGTTTTCAGTATCATAAACTCTTGCACCTTCTTGATTAAATTTATTCCTAATTATTTTATTCTTTTGATGCTATTGTTTTCTTAATTTCCTTTTGAATTATACATTTCTAGTTCATAGAAACACAATTGATTTTTGTCTGTCTGTCTTGTATCCTATAACTTAGCTGAGGTCATTTAGTAGCTCTAATCATTTTTTTGTGTGTGGATTTTTTTTTTTTTTTTTTTTTGCTTTTTAATATATAGATCATGCTGTCTGCAAAGAAAGGTAGTTTTATTTCTTCCTTTGCAATTTGGATGCCTTTTTTCTTTTTCTTGTTCTGGCTAGAACTTCCAGTACAATGCTGAAGAGCAGTAGCAAAAGCATACACCTTGTCTTGTTCTTGATTGCTGTCATTCTTTCAGCATTGTAATGTCAGTTGTGCGTTTTCATAAATGCTCTTTATCAGATTGAGGAATTCAGAAGTGCAATTCAAAAGTGCAGTAATTTAACAATGTCCAAAATTAGAGAAGATGGCAGTGATTTAAGTGATTTTTATTCATTCTTTTATTGTGGAGGTCTGATGACGTTTAGGGAGCTCTGGTGGCATAGTGCCCAAGGCATTTGACTAGAAATAGCAGTATAAGCATATTATTTAGTCATATGGAAATAACTGCCAGAAGAACTAAAACTAGTTAAAAGTAGTTATTCCTAGGGAATTATTATGAAGGGATATAGGTGTGGCTGAGTACATTGTTTCTTTTAATCTCTTCTGTGTACTTTTTAAAAACTCATTTGTGTGTGTGTGTGTGTGTGTGTATATAAAACTTGGAATTTTGAAAAATATGGTAGGTGTTCTTTAAGGTGAACCCATATTACATAGTTCAGATGTGGTTATAGGTTCTGCTGCTAAGGTAAGGAATGAAATATGGACCATATTAAGTATAATTTAGACATAACATAAAAAGTTTTTAAGTTTACTATGAACATTGCTTTCCTGAGAATTGTGCATTTTTATTTACATTAATGTATTGATTATGGTTTATTTATCATAACATTCTTAATTTTTCAGGGTACCTGGCATTCAGTCAAATTTACTCACTTTCACAATTCACATGGATATATAAAAATGTCAAAATCTTTATAATTAAGTGAAATTGGAATGTTGTATAATAATTTTAGCTTCAGGAAACCTAACTTTGGTCTAAGAGGTAAAAGATAATTGACTGTAAACAGAGCAAGTCCAGGTTCTAGGTGGCTTTCTTTGTGGGTGGACTGAGGGCTGAAACCATATTTATCAAGGTTTTTTCCCTCTTCCTTTCGTTATTGCTTTCTTTGTCATACTTTGGGTTCATTCTTCAGAGAGACTGTTGCCATGTAGTAGGCAAGGTGATTTTCTGTAACCTACATTTATACCCTCCATTCCTTATACTTAAAATAGAAAGAGATCTAACTTGATCATCATTAATAGAAATGGACCTATGAGGGCCCAGACTGAAGTGATTAGGTTATATTAGCTGTCTCTGAAGCAGTCATTTTTGGCCAATGGGCTGCCCTGGCTAGCCTGGTTAGCCTCAGTTCACATACCTACCCTTCTAGCCAGAGTTGTGGGATCACATGCATCAGAACTGTGTGAAATACATTCTCCATAGAAGAGAGGATATCCATTATCTGTAGACAGTGTGTTACATGAAGACAGGATGTGGGTAGCCAAGATCAAAGAGTATTAATTCTGGTAGCATAGTTTAGAGAAGCTGGGGTTTGGAAGGAGACCTTGGTTTAAATTCCAGCATCTACTGGGACTTGTGATTAAAATCATTCTCTTTGAGTTTTATTTTTTTCCTCTGTAAATGATTCAGTTTTAATTTAGGGGCTTTTGAGGGAATTCATTGAAATTATGGTGATGATAAATAATAAGTAATAGCCAACGTTTATTAAACACTTACTGTGTATATGGCATTGTATTAAATGTATTTTATACTTTGCCATTTAGCCGCACATTAAATCCTATGAAGTAAATGTTATTGCTGCCCATATTTTATAAATTTAACTCACAGAGATGGAGCAGTAAGTAGCCCAGGGGCACACAGGTAGAAGTTGGTGTAGCCTGAGGTATAAATCCAGGTTATCTGACTTCAGAACCCATGCTCTTTAAACTAGTATGCTTTAATTTGGCAGCCAGTAAGTCTCCAATAAATACTCATCCAGTTTCCCTTTCTTTTGAGAAGGTGATATTTGAGGTTATCCTATTAATACTCAATTTTATTATCCTTTATTTTATGTAACATACAGTTATTGTTGTGTATACTATGTAAGTTATATTTTGATACTTGTGTACATGTTGGTTACAGTTTGGCTGTAGCAGCAATTCCTGAAGGACTTCCCATTGTAGTCACAGTGACTCTGGCTCTTGGTGTTATGAGAATGGTGAAGAAAAGGGCCATTGTGAAAAAATTGCCAATTGTTGAAACTCTGGGTAAGTCTATGGTCAAAATGTGCTTCTGTGTTAATTCACGTCAATAATAAATGATCTTAGAGTTTTAGAATTTTTGCTTTAGAGGTTTGCACAGTGTTTTTGGCTTGCGGCAAATGTTATCTGTGGTTTTTACCTCCCATCCCTCACTCTTCCCCGCCCAAAAAAAGTAAATAATGCATATCAATCAGGATGGGGGATTTTAAGAGTCTTTTTTTTTTCCTAATAGCATGGGGTATTTCCAAAACTTAAATAATCTTAAAGAGAAAATCCACATAGCAAATGAAACCCAAGACTAAAATTAATAGAGTTCTTTTCTTTTTACATCTCAAGGAAGATAATTGATAATGAAAGATCCCAAAATATCATTCTTGAATGAATTTGCTTACAATAACAGTAAATGTACAGTACTTATATTGCTGTAACATAGCTTTATGTGTGGTATGTTATAAAACCACTCCTTTTTTTTAACTCTTAAATTTAGGATACCTAATTTAATTCCTAGTTTGCATTTTAATATCAAGAAGATGAAATACCTCAAAAGAATCTTGTCCCAATAAATTTTAATGAGTTTATATTTGGGGACTCTAAGCGTTCTAGAAATTTTTTTTACATAAAATTGTTACATAAATCTAAAATCAAGGAGCTTTGCAAAAATCAACTAAATAAGAGACATCAGCGTTTTATCACTATCTAATTTTTAATTCTAATTTTAGAAACTTTACCTTCTTAGGAATTAACATAATGAAAGTTCTAATCTAAAATTATTGATGAGTTTGAGCTCCACAGAATTCAGAGGAGTAGGACAGGCTTCTAGAGTCTTGGATTTTTTCTTTTCATGCTGAGCTTGTATTTGTCCCTCTGATCCTAATGGTGACAAGTAATGTTTGATTCTGTAGGTTGCTGTAACGTGATTTGTTCAGATAAAACTGGAACACTGACGAAGAATGAAATGACTGTTACTCACATAGTTACTTCAGATGGTCTACACGCTGAGGTACTCTATTGGTTTTTGTTTATTTTATAACACTATTCCTTTGCTAAGAAATTTTATGTTTAACATTTGTAATGATTTTAGGGTCTTAACCTTTAAGTGCTGTAAATTAGCAACAGAGCTATTTCCTTCCCATGTGATTCTGCCAAGGATGTTAGTTTCACTATCCTAGTTGTACAATCCAGAGACTGAATCCTACTTGATGCCTTTCACTCACCCCTACATCCACGCGTGCATCACCAAATCCTGTCAGTTTTTGCTTCTCATAACTATCGTACCCATCCGTTTCTCTGTGTTTTAGTCATTCTTAGTCCAGGTTACCATTATCAAACCTGGCCTGCTGGTAAAGCCTCTTGACTGGTCTTTCAACACCCCCTTTTGATACCTATACTCTATGTGCAGCTTATGAGATCTTTTTAAGGCCATATTTTGAGCTTTTGTGGTCCTCAATTAAGATGTTTCAGTAGCTTTACATTGTAATCAGGATCCTGAACTGTGGTCTCCAAGGCCCTACATAGTCTGTCCTTCATCTCTCTCTTCAGCTTTACATGCCGCCCCTTCTCTTTCTGTGCACCAAATGCACTAGCTTTATAGTACTCTAAGTATGCTGAAATACCTCCTGCTTCGGGGCCTTTTATGTTGTCCTCTCTGCTTAGATCAGTCTAATGCTTCTTCATCCTTTGTATCTCAGTTCTAGTTCCACTTCTTCAGAAAAGATTATACTCATCACTCAGAACTAGCCCTGTGTTATATGTTATACCATACCTTAGTCCTAACCCAGTGACATTTTCTGGCCTTCTTTCCCATTAAACTATAAGTTATAAGAGATCAGGAATCATGTTGCCTAGTGCAGGGCTTGCCCCATTGTAGTAAATATTTATTGAATGAATGAATGAATTTGTTACTTTATTTATACAATCTTTTAAGTGCATGTCATTGTATGTGCATTGATTGATCCTGCAGCTAGGTGAGGATGAGCTCCTGTCTCACCTGTTGTGCCGTTAGGTGCCTTCAAGGCAGTTCCAACTTATAGTGACTCTATGTACAACAGTCCTGTGTCATCTTCACAATCCTTGATATACTTAAGTCCATTGTTGGAGCCACTGTGTCAGTTCATCACATTGACCTTTTCACTGACCCTCTCCTTTACGAAGGATGATATCCTTCTCTAGGGGACTGGTCCCTTCTGGCAACATGACAAAAGTACATGAGATAAAGTTTGGCCATTCTCACTTCTAAGGAGTATTTCAGCTGTACTTCTTCCAAGCCAGATTTGTTTGTTGTTCTGGTAGTCCATGGTATTTTTAGTATTCTTCTGTCAACACAACAATTCCGAGGCATCAGTTGTTCTTCAGCCTTTGTTATTCATTGTCCAGCTTTCATATGCATATAAGGTGTTTTGGTTACCTAGTGCTGCTCTGACAGAAGTTATAACATAAATGGGATGGCTCAAACAAACAGGGATTTAGTCGCTTACAGTTTTAGAGGCTAGAAGTCCAAGTTCAAAAGTGCCAGGCTTTAGAGGGTGGGTGAAAGCCCCATGACCTTGGGGTTCAGCTCTGCCTCCTA